AGGTTGCGGCTCCAGTGATGCATGTGTTCGAGCAGCATCGAGCAGTGGAAGCGTCTGTTGCCTGCAGGTTCGTGCTGAGACGAAGAAGCGCAAGGCTCCCGCACCTGTAATCCCTCGCGCGCTCCCCCTCCTTCAGCCGGGGTCGGCGGATAACCGGAAGTATGCTTCTCGTGTGCGAGGCCCACAGTGGTGACCCTGCTGTTGGACAGACTGGCACTTTTTGGATTCAGTTTCGGCACTTTGCACTGCAGGTTTGGTACTTGTTAGTGTGTGCTTTGTGCCAGTGTGTATTGGCATCGAGCAGCAAGAACTGCAGCAGCTTGCTGGGTCCTGAGCCGCCCTTGATCTTCAGCTGTTTGAGCCCCATTCATGCCTGTGCAGGTCGAATGGGACATGTTACGAGACCAGTTTGTCCAAAACGGTGCCACGTCGGCTACGGGAGGACGGGGCAATCTCGTTTCTGTTCGACTAGAGAGGTCAGAGAGGTCATGGGTTTCTTTTATCTTCTTTTGGCATGTCCAACATGACCGGTCCACCCCCGTCGCCTCCCCTGTCGGCCACCGGCGGGCCGCCAGACACACACCGTCCACATCGCCAGGCGCTGGCGGCCGTCCTCGAGGAGGGTGCAGCTCCGAACTCCGCAGCGAGCCTCCGAGAGTGCACGGCCCAGTCAGGCGGCGGGGCAAGAGGCAACAAAGGGCATCGCTACTACTAGGAGCAAGAAGCTACTAGTAGGTCGTGGCATTACTACTAGCAACAAGAAGCTACTAGTAGCAAGGTGCATTGCTACTAGTAGCTAGCAGCTCCTGGCCTACTAAGAGCCGTGTCCACGGCCGAGGCCTCCGTGCTTGGTCCGGCCGCAGGGTGCCGTGGTGGATCCCCGCGGGCGAGAACGACGGGAGGTGCCAGACAGGACCAGATACCATGCGTGGATGTGTGAGGTATGAATATAAGTTAAGCAACAAGAAGCTACTAGGTGGAGGCCATCGCTATTAGGTTGGAGGCCATCGCTACTAGGAGCAAGAAGCTACTAGTAACTAGAACATTATACAACAAATATTTGTATACTTGGAGAAATGTTCGATCAAACCCATCCATGCCTTCTGTGATGCTGCTTGAAATCCTCAAAGCAGACATCTTCTGAGCGAAAGGGATTGAGCCCTGTGTTGAGAGACCTTTCTGCTGTCCCAACCGACCCTCCCGCACATGCAGCAGTGGATGGACCAGTGGATGGACGTGGATCGACAAATTTATGAGAAGACATCCTCCGGATCTGGTAGGATGCTCTTGCCTTTGTCAAAGAGCTTCTTCCAAAAGGTTGCAGGCCCACTGGCTTTCTTATTGACAGCGGGCCGGTATTGTGATGGGCCATTCTGGGCCATTCTCGTCCATTGAAATTGGTTTTGCAATGGGCAATCCTTTTGTAAATGTCCGACTCCGCAAGCTTTCCGGGAATCTTCAGAGGGCCGGAGCGGCTGGTCATGGTCAGCTGGACCACTGGGGCACCAGCAGATCCCAGTGCAGGGCTCAGTCGGTCTGCTTGAAAACCAGAAAAACCCGATGGAAACAATTGCATTTGCCGATGCGAGTTAGTTGCTTGTGGCTTTGGGCTGTCATAGAAGGAGTGGCCTTTAAGGGGTTTTTGAACTGGAAAGGTGTAAACATGGCTCCTTCGCAGAAGGTGAGAAGGGAAGCCGCACTGCTATCGCCCTCAACTTGGCATTGTCCATCCGCAAGAACGTGGGAAGCTAAGATGCAGCGCCAATTGGACAACGTAAGAATCACCATCGCGGGGCGTGCCTGCTTTGGGCAAGGCAACTCAGATTGGACTCAATCCCCACACTGTCGAGGCGCCCCAACTTGAACGTCGCTTCGCCTATATCTCCATGGATACTGTCGCTCACCAGGCTGAGTTGGCCAGACAGCTCCGGGTGGGTCAAGCATTTGGAGCCCAGTAAGTTGCCCTAGTGGAGAAACTGGATGATATAATGACACACACACACACACATATATATATAATATAGATCCAAACCTGTGGTCTCCTCAGCCTTTGCGATATTGAAGGCCTGTCAGTGACAGGTCATGCAGGAACATGGCTTCAATTCTGCCCTTTGTGAGGTGGGCCCAGCTGCCTTGGGAAAGGAAAATCCAAATGCTTCGATCCAGAAGGGGCCTGGCAAACCACCTTTCCGCACTTGCATTCCAGGCCGGCCCTTGCCGCTCCACCGATCTTAAAGATGACATATGGAAGATGAGCCCACAACTGAGAATGAGAGCTTTGGGACGGACTGGTGGCTCTGGTGGGTTGGCCGGCTACAGTAGCCAGCTACAGTAGCCAGCGTATGCACGAACTCGGCCTGCCAAGGATGGTACCTCATGCTAACGCTCACCAGTTTCGACCTGCATGTTCTAGTCATAGATGCAGACATCGTCTTTCTGGGTGATCCGTTGAACGCCCAGAGCTTGGCGACAGCATTTTCAAAAGTTGGTTGCCAGGTGTGCTTGCTCTTGTCAGTTCGGACGCTCAAATCAGCTACCGGTACCAGAATCGAGTTCCAGCACCCACTGTAGGAGTTCAGCAGGGACGTTGACATGGAGGTGCTGCTTGAAAGCGCATTTGGCTAGCTAGAAGCTGCTACAATGCTTGAATATGATATCATATTCTACATTCGATTGACACACCGCTAGAATTGTGGTCGTGGCTGTCATTCCAGTGCACTCATCATAGAAGCATAGTGGTGGAGGTCATGACGGATCACTTCTTCCCAGAGAAGCACCTGTGGGAGCCGTGGGTGAGGGTTGAGGAGCCAACCAAATGTAGAGTGTGGCCTGGGCAGCAACGAGCTGAGTTTGAGGATTTTTTGAGACCTTAATTATGTGGAGGACCACATCAACACAGGCTTTATTCTGGTAAAGCCGACTTTGCCCATCCGCACCTTGGCCTTGATTTGGCTCCTTGGCCGCCTTGGCCCTGAAACATATTACAAGTGCAGTGCCGCCCAAGGTTTTTTGATCGCCGACTTTCTGGACGAAAACTGGCAGTCAGAGCAGGGAGGTGTGCGGAGATTCATCAAGTTCCTTGCAGAGCTTTGGTGCTTTGAAGGTGTGCGGAGAGATGGTATGGTGGCCACCTGAGAAGCACTGAGCAATCATCACTTCCGTCCAACATGTGCCCAGGATCAGCGCGTATTCAACCACTTCATTGTGCAAAGCTTAAGGCTTAAACTTTGTACTTGGTTGGCGATTGTGTCGTTCAGAATGCCTCAGGTTCGACGGATGTTGGCAGACATCCCGTTGGTGGCCCGAGCACCCAGACAACTCGACGGCAAGTTCACGGACTTGCAATAAGTAACCCGACCTGCAGCGATTTCAATTTAGAAAGAGATAGGAAGAGGATGGAAGAGGTATACTGTCAGATGTCAGAATTACACCATTTTTTTTAAAATAAATATCTGGTATATAACTACTATAAACTTCACTTTTGCTTGGGGACCTGCAGGGAATGAAATCCCACCAAAAGGTCGACCTCCTTCTGAGGGAGCAAAAAGCAGATTTTCAACCATTTTATGTATCCCTGATGTAATTCAGGTCGGCCACTATGGCCAGAAAACCTTTGGCCGGCAGCAATCCATTGTGCCTGCGTGGCCGTGGCGACAGGTCTCTATTCGTATCCTGGCAACTTAGCTGCGTGAACAGGGCTGGTGCGGCATGATGCAGCATGATTGACTGCCTTGGCACTGAGGATCCAAAACGGATTGCTCACGGCATGAACTTCTTTTGGCGGCGTGCTCACCTCCTCGACCCAAAGGCCCGTTCACGAAAAAATGCAATGGGAGGCCATTCCAGAAGTTTCATGAATAGATGCGGTCGTTGCTGCTGCGTTGTCTCAGCACAGTATTCAAGGTGGGGTCTCTGCCACCAGTGGCCCACATCAACGGAGCAGACCCAAAGGAGCACACATCAAGAATGAAGTAGCATAAAGTTGCATGTGTAAACCCATTTGTCCATGTCGCCTGCTGCGAGGAATACTTCTTGCGGGACCGGCAGGCCAAAAGCCACCGAATGATGATGCTGGCCTTTCTTGCCAGTCGTGCCTACAGCTTGCCTAGCCGCCAAGTGAAGTCCTGAACTATGTCAAGCTTATGACTCCTGCCACAGGTGTGGTTCCTGGATGATTGGCTGGATCGCTTCAATGACACTAGCCGCAGGCTCATGACCGTCTTTTTCGATGGGTGGATAGGGCAACCATGGGCGAAGAAAGCGCATGGATGTTTGGACAAGCATTCTAGAAGAAGGAGTAGCAAGACAACTCCCGCAGGAACAGTAACAAGAAAGTGCAGTGTGATGAGTCATAAGTCATAAGTCATAAGGACTAGATTTTGCACTTAAGCATGCTTAAGTTCATGTCCTCGGGCGAGCCTAATACAGAGTGTTACCGATTCACCTTTCTTGGAACTGCTCCGGCGAGGTTCATGACCTATGTCCACCCTGCCGGCCAGAATCTTCGGGGTGACTTCACCACCCTGGCAGCGGCAATTGAGGCCGAGAAAGGGAGCCTGGAGGCAGAGGAAAGCAATGGACCATACTTTGACCATGTGCCCAACAAACAGTTTGGTGTAATTATCCATTGACTGGCCCTTCTGGAAGTCGGTGGACACGCCGTTTGATGCTGGGCCACATATCAGGCATGAGTAAGAGGGTGTGAGTGAGGCTGCACGGCTCATGGGCCGGCGGCTGGTGTTGCCTCACACCATGAATTGCCTCATCCTCAGCAAGTTTTGGCTCCTTGATTTCTTGCCTCTTTCCCCCGTCGCAATGCTGGGTAGAAGCATGGAGAAACCACAGCAGACTTGCAGAGTGGCAGGCCGCAACACTCCAGCGTACAGTGTTTGGAATCTAGATGTGACGATTCAGCGAGAGGCCGACAGCTATGGCCCCAGTGTCAGTGAGCGAATCACATGGCTTCAGATGATTTCAGAAGCTTGCTGCTAAAGTTTCCAGCACCGTTCTCGTGTGGCACTTGGCAGCTGATGGATCCTTTCAGAGGTGGCAACTGCACATTCGACTACTTTTCCTGGGTGCTGCTTCTCAGCATCCCTCGTTGAATGAGATTTGTGTGCATGAAACGCGAATCTGACTTCGCCAAAAGCAAGGCAAAGAATCTTTTGGATGCCCATGCAGGATTTGTAATCGAGCAGGACGCTCAGCAACATGAGAACTGTGCTGGAAGTGCCTTGCAATATTGACTTACCATTTGCTGAGGTCAGGTGTGCGTCACTTGCCGGAATTTCGGCAGCTAGTTGAGGCATTAGCATGCAGCATGAGCATGGCTTTTGAGACGTTTTCAATGGGGTGCATCAGATGAGCAACGTAAATTGGGAGAGGATTCTGGAAGCACCCTGCCGGCTGTTGCAGTCTGGATCCTGACCTGTGAGAGCCGGAGTGGATGCAAAGAATGTTTGTATCATGGCCTTTCGTTTCAGGTACTTAAGTTTCCCTAAAAATCTAGGAACCATATCCTGTGTCCAGTTACTAGAAGCACTAGTAGCTAAGAGCGTTGTCCCTTGCTTACTTAAGTAGGCGCCTACCGCAACCTAATTAAGTAGGGAGGCCGGGCCTCGGGCCAAAAAGATTGCAAAGGTGTTTTCTCTTCGGGGTGAACGGGGAACTCTCTGAAAAACCATACGCTCCTTGCAGCTGGCCGTCTAGTTGCCACACTGAGGACTGGCCGAGGCTTTCTGTCAGCGAAATGCTGAGCTCGTACATTCATTTACTGTATATAGTTTCTTTTTAGATCCTCATATGGAGGTTATCAGGAATATCAGGTTGCTGCCAGCGTCGTCAGTCACTTTGTTTAAAACATGTATTCAGGGCCTGAAGCTGAACCCTTTCCGCAGACTCTTGGACCAAAGAACGTCCATCCTTGCTTCGCATGTTGTTGCCCACATGTCATCATAAATGCCGCTTGTGGCTGCAAAGCATGACGATAGAATCAAACTCCCTTAAACACCACCACCCGCCAATCAACAGAAAACATGAAAAAAACATCGACAGCGGAGAAATACTTGGTGAATGGTCTCCCAACCTGCTATGCCTGTCGAGTTCTGATGCTGAAAGTTGCTGTAGGCATCTGACCACGCAACGAGCCTCCAGAACTCAATGAGCAAGAGAGCAACGCCTCAAGCATTTTGCAAGATTGCGCACCACAAGCCATGTGCGAACACACAAACACACACATCACATACCGCATGTCACGTACTTTTCTCTCTACCAATGTGTCTGAATATCGGTCTTGGATGCCCCTATCCCTTGGGCTTTGAGCAAGAGCACGTCTTCTTATTCTTCGTCTTATGCCACGCTCCGGTGAAGCTGGGAGCTCTGGACAGCCATGGCCGCGGAATGGTCGGAATGGTCTTTAAAGACTTGCTGCTGGGACTGGCATCTTATCCTTTCTTGATGCTTCTGTGATCTTTGTGTGGGCTTTGTTCTTTTGTTCTTTGCATTTGTTGGTTTTGGAGTGGCACACTTCAGAGGTGTCGTGCTGTGCTTCTTGAATGCTGCAGCGCTGCTGGCTTTGGGGGCCTTCCCAGTGCCATGGGTTCGCGGCTCATTCCCCGACACATGGTCCGACCTGCTGCAACTCTGCATGACACTTGGCCTAGCGTGTTTCGTGTCAGGTCCTATTGCTCCTGGGCGGTTCCTTGCTGTTGCAGGCAGGATTTCTAAGTTCCTCTGCAAGGCCAAGCCATCAACATTTATACGGTTGGGCTTTTGGAGGCTGACCGAGCCTTGGCGCACTTGTCATGCTGGGCCATCGCCAGAACGCCAAAGGCACCAGAAAGGGTGTTTCAGATTGCCTAGGACAGTCTCCCGCTATCCTGTATATATATGTTACTTCTTGCATGTAAGGATTCTGAATGGTTTGCCCCAACTGAACCGCACTTGCAGAATCTAGTAGAACATACATTTTACAGAGAGGTTGCTTGATCCCGCATCATTATGTGGCTCGGTTTGTTGCCAGGCGTTTCATTGGAGCATTGAACTCATTTGTGTCCGGCCAAGCTGGTCGTTTCGATCCTTTTGCTGGAGTGTCCCTGGCCCCAAAAGACTGAAATGACGGTCACGAGCTGTACGTGAATACAGTAAACAGTAAGCATGCCCCTTTTGGATATCAATCAGCTATATGATCATTTTGGACTGCGGACCTGTGCAGTAACAATCCCCAAAGAGATGGCCAAAACGATGCCCATGCCCATGCCCATAGCTGTAGCTTTGGGTTGCAAGGCTGATTTGGATGCATTACGAAAACCAATCCTCAAACTCCTGGAGGTTTGCATGGCTGCTTATCGTGGTCATAACGTCAAGTTCAGCGTTGGGGCTGGCTTAGCAGATTGCCTGACACCCCCTGCCCTCCCGGCCTGCTTGGCCATCCAGCTATTGGGGTGAGGAGGGTGCCCACCAATGGGATTTCCAGTCACCACCCCTGGCACCCCCTTGCCCGCATGTTGGCACAACTGCTGGCGCGAGAGTTCGATGTTTTGTTGCAATGGTCCATATTGACAAGCCCATTCGCTGTTTGGCAGCGAGCCAAACCGTGCCTGAGGAAATTAGAATCATCAACTGGACATGGCACAATCCACCTGGATTCGAAGATGATGCCAGGTGAGGGGCCGTGTGGGTTGGTTGGCTTCCATTTCTTAGATGGTTGGGTCATTTGCAGGTCCTACATTTTGGAGATAGACCGCCTCTCAATACGCTTCATGGCAGCATTTTTGTAGATTGCCACATGGCTGGCCATTTGTCTTGCATGCTGCTTGACTGAAAGACGGCGTGTGCTGATTGAGCTGGTTTTGTTGCCGAGGACTGCAGCTCTCTTCCATCTTCGCTGCTATTCGCAAGCGGGGGGCCATCAAGGTCAAGCTGGCGGGGAACCCAACATTTTTCAACATGGCTGGAGGTGGAAGAGGTAGCTTCTGGAACAAGCGAAGACAGCCCCACTTCAGGTCTGCGTTGAAGGTGTGCGCTTCAATACCCAACGTAATGAAGAGGCTCTGCTCAATCTTTGGGCGGCGTGCCTTGCTAAAATGTTTGATCATGTTCCGTGAGTGTGGCCGCTTGACTTGTACCACTTGGGACATATCCAGCTACTGCCTTCTTGGATTCGACCTCGAACGAGGGAGTTTCTTGGACCCATGTGCATCAGCACCACGTAGGTTGACTTCAACCACCGAAAGCTATCCTTGACTGAAGGTTGCATCTTGATGATGCGACCAACGAGGCGGCCATTGTGTGGCTGGGCCAGAGAGAAACCTCGCATGAAGCAATCTTATCGCATCTGCGGTCCAATCACTCCTTGCAGTCCTTTCTGCGCACACGACATGCTTTCCATGACTTTCCTGAGGCATGGCGCACATCATGTCGGAGGCACATCGGCTGCAGTGACAGCATGCAGGACCTGGAGTAGAGGGTTGGCATGTTTGAACTCTAAAGCAATGCCGCAAGATATGTAATTATATATATATATATAGAGTGAGCGTGTGGATCTTGCAGCTGGCATGTAGACTTCATTGTTGGTACTGACGAGTATGTTGAGCGACCAAGCCCCATGAGGTCCAGAATCCCTGCTGAAAACAACATGAAAAAACAATATATATATATATATTGTTTGGGGCACAGTGCATTAGAATCCCTCGAGCCCCCCCTTTGCTGGAGCGATCGTCCGACGCAAGGCTTGGATGCCCCGCACATGGTGAAGCCGTTGGAGCATGGAGCCAAGGTGAGCGCCAGGTCTCAGGCAGATGTATGAGGTTTTAGACAAAGCAACGCCAGTGCCATAGAACCTACTGTGCTGTACAGACAGGGTGGCAAGGTAGTACATACCCTCGGTTGCAGCGTGTTGGTCTGCCATAGGCGCTTCAAGCCGATGCTGCGCAGAGAAACTTCCAGTTTAGACGGCAGGACCTTTCAAGTGTGGTTCCACCTCCATGTGAGAACACCTTTGCTTGGAGAGGACACCCCGCTTGGGGATGCTTTGCGCCGACCACGTTGGGGCGTGCCCTTTCGCTTTGATATTGAGCAGCCCAGCAACACCTGAATGGATTCGATTGTGCAATGCGGCACAGGACAGCTTATTCACTCGCACTGACTTGGCTTGGCTGACATGACCACATGCGGCCTCGAAGCCAAGCGTTCAAACATGTTAGACAGAGGTTGCCTAATAGCCTCCAACCTAATAATAGCATAGCGAACCTACAGTACTAGCGATAGCCTCCAACCTACTAGAGAGGTTGCCATTAATGATTTGCTGGGTGAGCCGAGGCAAGTCTGTGTGATTAGTGCGAAGCTTTGGCTCTTCGATCTCTTGACCTTGGATCGGCGTTGGCGACCTGTAGAGCCTCAGGACACATGGTTGAAAGGGACCTGTATATAGAGGCTTGAATCTGGAGGATTGAAATGACTTGACATGATATGAGGATTTGACATTTTGAGTCCCACCTTGCGGACTTGACTGTCTTGAGCGGGTTGAGCAGTGGTTGAAGGACACCAAAATGGAAGTCCCATGCCTTGCCTTTTCCTGGGAGACCTTGGCCAAACGCGATCCTCGCCGTGATGGCCATGCCGATGGTATCAGGGGAGTATACCTTGGTGAGCTGGTGGGGCTGGCACGGAGTTTGACCTGACCACAAATTCCAACCTACAAACTGCTGTAATGGTGCACTGGGTGCCGTGTGACATGTAAATGATTTGCGCAGCAGCCATGAAAGAGTGTTTACGCAAAGGTGGGGACAAGCTCCTAGTGCTGCAGTGTTCTCAAAAGTCGTGGTGGCCAGGTTTGGGTCCTCATCGCCCAGCTGTTGCCCAAGGTTCTAGAAAGCTCTCCGCAGAATCTCATGAAAACTGTTCGCCAGCTGCATCCCAGACTCTGAATGGTGCAAGTGCTGCATGAATTGCAAATTGTGCTGATGCTCTCCCTTCCACGTCTGAACTTTTGGTAGGTCTCCAGTGCGATGATGTTTGTTATTTGGGTTGATGTGTGAGGGGCAGATGTTTGGCCTTCTGTTATTGATTTGAGGGCACCCTTTCCTCATGAATCCTGCCTAGTAATAAGGTTTCCAGGCCGCCAAGGCGAAGTTGTTGCATACAATTTAGGGCCAACACATAAAATTGTTTTTGTTGCCTTGAGATGCTAGCTGCGCAGACAGCGACTTTGTTGCTACCTTCGTGCATTTGTCTGAGGCGCTCTTTGCAGTTGGCTTTGGCGCTTGGGATGCCACAGTCATTATGGGAGCCAAGGCCTTCGAGCTCGCCCTCGATGCCAAATATTGTTTCTTGCCCATCTTGCAATTGGTCACTGGGCTTGGGGCATCGTTTTGATGCACAGGCAATTGAGGCAATGGTTCTGTGTTGTTTGGTGGAGATTTTGGACGCTCTGACCAGAATTGAGAAGCAGCCTGCCGGCCTGCCAGCCTCCCAAAAGCTGCTTCGGGGCTTCATGATTGATTTGGAGAGAAGTTGGCCTCGCATGAGGAGAATGGGGGCCTTGAAGACCCTTCTTACCAACAGGATGTTCAGGGACCGCAGTGACTGGAGCTAAGCCTCCTCTTGATCACCAATATTTCCTCCTACCCAGGCAGACGGACTTGACTTGAACAGTTGAGGGTCAAAGCTTGGAACTCAGGTCTCGGTAACGTGCTGCCTTGCCTTCCTTCCACTGAGCCACGTCCCACCCTGGACCGATGTTGCTTGGCGGACTGGTGTTTCCGCAGGAATTAAAGAACAGCACAAAAACCAAAGACTTGGCAAGATCAGATCTTGTAGGTAAAGTAAAGAGCTGGTTCTGCTGGGGTTGTGTCATCCTGTTTGTTCCGGACTCACCCTGGCACCGCATGCTCAGCCCAAAGCGCGTGGCTGTCCCCACTAAGGCTTTGTGCATGTGCATTTGATTTGTGGGCGTGGACTTGTTCGTCAGCACAACCAGTACTGCAATGTTCTTGCCCCCAAGCAGCACAGCTCTAGGCCCGTATTTGCTGAAAAGCCACTTTAGCTTGCCCAAGGTACGCCTGGAGCTTAAGAATCCACAGACGCCACAGGGCACTGTGGCAGACCTGGCGGTCGCCCCACTGCGCATGTGGACGAAGTCGCCCTGGTGGGACCAGACTCTTGAAGTTGAAACAGGCCATGGCCATGGTGGCAAACCTCAAGGATGCTACTAGTAACAAAGGGCATCGCTACTAGTAGCAAGGACGCTACTAGTAGCTCCTGGCATTACTACTAGTCTGATTATTTTGGAAGAAGCTCGAACACATCAGAGCCAACTCAACTGTGCTGGCCGTAGTTGACGAGCTGTTGAGATTGGCTCACGCTTGTTGTTCCAGTCTCCTGTTAAGCTTTGGTTGGTACTCTTAAATTCTTTCGATGCCTCAAGCGTGGCTGGCCAGGTTTCCGCATGGCACACTGCACATGCATCAAACTCAATTGCGATGCCATTTGGGAGAGTACCACCGTTAATGATCGTTAATGTATCCTCTCAACACCGGGTGGCGCACCAGTCAAGTTGGGCTGTACTGTATTCGATGTGATTTGGAATTGCACAACTGTGATCATTGTGACATGGGGCATGCCTTGTTTGAGAACCTGGGAAGTTTGGGAACTGGACGTCTTCTGATCGGAGCTTTCATCCCAGGAAGTTCTGCCTTGGCCCAGCGACCTCCACCAGCACACTGGTTAGGATACGATGCTTCCATCGCAAGGCTTCCAACGGTGTGCTGAACGGTCAGAGAGTGATCAAGCCAAACATGAGTTAAGGTTATAGTTATAGCTGTTTTATATATTTGTGTATTGTTTTGATATGTTTTGATCAGTTCTGCCACACTGCCTCAGAATTTTATCCTTCCGCTGGGTCGCGTTGCCCAACTGCGAGGCTCGACATGCCATGTCGACAAAATGTGATGGTTTGCTTGGCCAGGCAGGACAGCTGATGATGTCAACCCGTTTGTGTCACATCAATAACTGCTTCGAGGTCACAAGGCAGATTGATAAAGTCGATAGCTTGTTGTTGATGGCACCAACTTGTTCATTTAAACTTAGTGTGTGAAAAGGGCACGACCAGAGTCGGTGCGTTGCCTGCCAGCCGAATGCTAGTCGGTAGGTTTTCTGGCTTGCCTTGCTGCAGGCTACCCAGTACTTGTGTCGCTCAAAGTGCCTTGCAGGGTTTTGGGTTCCCCCCCCCAGGTTGTGATGTCCGTTAGGTATGCAGGCCTGTTTTTTGGAACATGTTGACCAATGCCACCGCCATTTGCACCTGCAGATTTCTTGTAGAAATGCCACAGGCATTGAAGGACACAAGTGTTGAAACTTGTTTGAACGGAGACCCCGACGAACATGCAAACTGTCTCAGCCCTGGGATCCACCAGTCGGAGACCCTGATGTGGGTTGCCATGTTGTTCGGATTCAAGGGAGAGCCGTTGTTGATGGGACGGTTCGCAGCCTGTCTTGCCAGGATCTGGCAATCTTTGGTGGCCCCGTCGGAGATGCAGTACATGGATGACCCAATATGGATCTTGCGGGTGCCCTCCTCAAGGAGAAACAGGAACCTCGCCCTCTTGCTGTACACGGCGCGAGCGCTGGGGATAAATCTGGCGTGGCATAAGGGTGCAAGAGGCAGCCAATTGACATGGATTGGAGTCATGTTTGAGGTCAACCAGGCGGAGGCCATGATCAAGTTGACGGCTCCCCGGAAGATGATGGACGAGATCCGAAGCATCCTGGAGACCTGGGAGCATAAAGGGATGGTCAGCCTCAAGGAGGTACAGCAGGTGACGGGGAGACTATCGTGGGTAGCTGGGATCCTTCCCCGTGCACGTTGGGCTGTCAGCATCATGTATGCGGTGATCGCTGACACCAAGAAGTCAGAAGACGACGAACGCAGGAGAGCAACCCAAAGATCGGACCAGAGACCCAAACTGGGGCTAGTCTCAGTGAAACGAACCAGCTACCAAGACGCTGGTTCGTCACCCTCTTCAAGGACCCGGACGTGCTGGCCTTACGAGCTGCCAACGGAGGAAAGGTTGCCAGACTTTGCCATCGTATCACCCCAGGGCATGGGGGCATTGCTGGCGACGGTGGACACAATGTGGGGCCATCACACAGCGCTCCTTGGAACTCCATCTTCGCCAGCAGTGCTCCAAACGCCTAGTGGCGCACTTCTCCCCGTTCGCCAAACACATCCCACACATGCAACCATTGCTGTGGCCGAACTTCCGCACGGAGGTTTTTGACCTGTTGGGTGACACACGATTTCGGACCATCCGGGAACTGGGACAGGGAACTGGGGGGGAGGGAACTGGGGACAGGGAACTGGGACAGGGAACTGGGAACTTGGGAAGGGAACTGGGGGCAGATGGGGAACTGGGGGGAGGGAACTGGGACAGGGAACTGGGACAGGGAATTGGCGAGAGAGCATGACGTCCGGAACCTCCTGAACGTGTTCCGTGATCAGGAGGTCACCCCCTACAAAAGATCAATCAGGTGTGGGAGACCTTGCGATGGCTTTCCCGGATCTTCGGCCTCTTGGATGTCAACGAGTTCCACCGCCTCAAGAACAAGAAGAAGGCCTTGGAAGAAGAGCTGGCCGACACCACAATCCGACCCCAAAGGAAAGCTACGGTGCCCTCCAAGGAGGTGATCTGGGCCCTGGAAGAAGGAGCGGCTAGCTTGGAGATCCCATTCGTGGAGGGTACGGCGCCCCTGAACCCTGAGGCCTCTCTGACGGGACACGCAGCGATCCAACGCATGATGGACGCCTTCATCCTGGGCATTGCCAGGCTCCAAGTGGGCTGCAGCGCTCGTTTCAATGACCTGCAGCACGTGCGCCCCAAAAATCTCACTCAGACTTCCGGTACGGTGGAACTGCAGGCATGGCAGACTAAGACGGTTTCCACTGCCAAGATCCGGAAGCAACCGGTCGCGCTGATATGGCCCAAGTACAGCTTCACGGGGAAACCATGGTGGCTCCCCTTCCTGGCGCTCGTGAGGAAGATGGTATCCCTCAAGCAATTCGAGGGCATGGATTATTTGATCCGAGCCCTGCGATGGCTCAAGGAGGCCTTGCGCCGACAAGGGGTGGCCAAGACAGCCATTGATCCGCTCACATGGCACTCCTTCAGGGTCTTCATGCCGGACTGCGCTTTCCAACTCCACATTCCCAGGGATCAACGGCAGTACCTGGGCAACTGGCTGACCGAGAGCACAGCCGACGTCTACACGAGGGAGAAGAGGAATGTGGTGGTCGACATTTGGAACAAAGTGGCAGGCCAAGTGCATCGTCTCAACCTGAACGTGGGGCGAGAACGCAGGGAGGATCTTGATCATCCAGACTGGAACGACACTCAACCAGTCGACCTAGAACAACCCGACCAAGGGCACCAAGAACTACCACGAGCCTCCCCCCTCGGCGTGATGGCCAAGAATCTTCCGCGGGCAGATCCTCTCACGAGCTGGTGGAGAAGGCGACCGACAGCCCGGAACCCAGGGAACTGTTCCCGGCAGCGCCCTCAGACCTTCGGGACCCCGTAAAAAGCTGAGAATTCACCTCCTCAACACAGAAGGAGTGGCAGTGGGCTGCGGTTGGCGACCCAAGAGCTGGTCAGTCTTGGACCTAGACCCAAATGATTTTGCCAACGACCCAGATGGCTTTGGGAAATGTGAACGCTGCTTCAAAGCCCACGATTTCCCAGCTCACTGGGGAACGGAGGACCAGGAGGTCCAAGTGGTTGCACAGGACACGGACTCCTCGCTGGATTCCGGCTCAGACACGGATGACTCAGTGGACACGGAGTCCGACTTGGAAGGAGTGGACCTGCCAGAAATACTCAAAGTCGTCCCGACAGAATGAAGCGAAAAGGGGGGGGTCGGTCCAAGCGCTTCTAGCCTTGAGCCGCACCTTGGCCTCCAGAGAGGGCTTTGCCACAGCGGGCAGTGCGCCCGGGGGATCACCCATGCGGAACTAGAAGGGTTCCCCTGCATCACACACCCTCGGAAGTCCTGGCGTCCTATGCAAATGGCGGGTGTGCCAGTCCGTCCTACGGAAACGGCAGAAAAGCGTCCTGGCACACCCTAAGTGGTGTGGCCTTGTGACAGTGGATGCAGATGCCAGAGGCCAGAGGGTGGAAAGATCTATAGCCACCAACACTTAGCTCTGAAGGAAAAAGGAAGGTTACAGTGTTGGTGGCCTACTGCAGGAACGGCGGGTCGTTGAGGTTTGTGTTTGAAAAAGACATTTTTTTCCATACTTACATACATTTGACACTTGCATTGAGCTTGCGGTTGCAAGAAATATGTATGGAATGTTGAACCAAAATGTCCACCGAACATTTTGGCTCAAGCCTGACTGGCTCACCAGTCAGCAACAAAGAGAGAGAGAGAGAGAGAAAAACCCACCCGCCCTCAACCTAGGCTGCGGCAGGGTCCTCAGCGAAACCCACCCCCTGACCTTTCCTGTCCGAACCAAGGCTCAGAACTAAGGCATTAACTGGCCACAGGATGGCAGCAGCGGCTCCCGCCACTCCACCAACTGAGGCCCCAGACGCCCTTCGGGATGCTCTCGCCCTTCTTCAACCCAATTTGTCGACGCTGCTCGTTTCCAAACAGATCCCATACATTGTCCAGGCATGTCCAGGCAGCATTGGCCCGAGACGGCTACGTGTCCCTCGAGGACCTGGCCGACCGTTGGGACACCCCGGAAGAAGCCCGGCGGGAATCCTGCAGGGCCTTGGCATTCCAAAACGGGGAGAACGGCTTTGACAGTTCACTGCCATGAGGATGCTTCAGGCAGTACGTCAGGCCAAGGCTACCTTCCAGGTGCAAGGGGGCCCCATCGGAGCACCAGCCCCGGCCGGAGGCCTAGCAAAGAAATGATGGACACCCTATGCGACCGAAGGCAACTAGAAGACGCATACACACGCATCCACAATGCCCCAAAACCACGATTGGAACAGCAAGGGAGTGACGCTCTCCTCAGTCACAGTAGATGGCTGGGACAAGGAGGAAGAAGAAGAGACCCGGCCAAACAGGACAACGAGACGACAGCTTGAACGGACGCACACAGTATTTCGCACACACTGAGCCCAGCCCCGACCACTCCACCCAGAAAACGGGGCATTCCTCGCCAGAATGACCAAACACCACCCAAGACGGCCCCGTCTCAACAGGCATTGGCAGCACTGGCAACCCTCTCGGGTGGGGCGGAAGGATCACTACTCCAACAGGCGTCATCCAGCCTGGACGACCCATTCGTGGAGCTCCAGGTGGCCTCTAGGCCGTTACGAGACGGTGGAGGGAAACCGTCCCCAGGAAGACTGGCTCCCTGGGCACGACACAGGTCTGCCTTAAATTGGCCCGGATTGGCAGCAATATTCTTCTCCCACCACTCCTTGGGTGGACAAGATGTTGTGGTCGACCGACTGTGGTGACAAGACTCATCCCTTCAGCACCGACCTCCTTGCAGAAATCCGACAGACACTCGACCCAGGCCAACAGCATGGACAAGATCAGGGCCCTTCTTCCTGACCTTGATCTCCTCGCTTGCACAGCGGGGAGGGGATCGAGACTGGCAGTACCCCCTGACTCTTCAGCAAGGAGTCCCCCTGGGGGTTACACTATTGTTTCCCAATGTATGGCCCCTCAAATCGGAACTGGCAGGGGAAGAACGGGACTCAGCAGATCTTCCGGACCCTACCGGACGGGCAATTTGGAGATACGAAAAACCTTCGAGGAGGAGGTCCCACTGGGCATCGTCTCGGGACCCCTCACCAAGACAGAAGCCGCACGCATGCGCAGCTGCGACCCCTCCGAGCTTTGCCCTGGCCCACTTGCGGGCATCGATGAGGGAGACAAAATCCGCACCATCTTTGATGGCTCTGTCAGGGGAGCCAACACTCATATCCAGAACAATACTCATGGAGCGAA